GATCAGCTTTAAATGAATTAAAGACTTAAATATAAGATATGAAACTATGAAACTATTAGAAGAAAATATAGGGGAAATGCTTCAGAATATTGATCTGCACAAGATTTTATGGAGAAGACCTCAAAAATACAAGGAACCAAAGCAGAAATAGAAAAATAAGATTACATCAAACTAAAAAGCTTCTGCACAGCAAAGGAAACAATACAGTTAAGCAACAACCTAAAGAATAAAAGAAAGTATTTCCAAGTTATTCATCTGATAAGGGATTATCACCCAGAATATACAAAAAACTCAAACAACTCAAGAGCAACATAAATAAATAAATAAATAAATAAATAAATAAATAAATAAAATAAAAAAATCTGATTAAAATATGGAAATAATCTGAATTGACATGTCTCAAAAGAAGATACACAAACATCATACAAATATATGAACAAATGCTTAACATTGCTAATCATCAGGGAAATGAAAATCAAAACCAGAATGAGAAGTCATCTTAAACCTGTTAAAATTTATATTATCAAAAAGAGAAAGAGTAACAAATGCTGGTGAGGATGTGGACACTTCTTATACACTATTGATGGAATGTAAATTAGCAAAACCATAAAAAATAGTGTGGAAGTTCCTCAACAAAACTAAAAATAGAATTACCTTATGATCCAGCAATCCCACTGCTAGGTATATATCCAAAGGAAATCAGTAGTCCAAAAAGATATCTGCATCCCTGTTTGTTACTGTGCTATTCACAATAGCCTAGATATGGAATCAGCCCAAGTGTCCATCAGTGGATGAATGAATAAAAACTAGTCTATTAATGTATACCCAATGGAATATTACTCAACCATCAAAAGAATGAAATACTATCATTCAAGTAAAGACATGGATGGAACCGGAGGTCATTATGTTAAGTGAAATAAGTCAGGCACAGAAAGGTAAATACTACATGTTTCATCTCACCTGTGGGAGCTAAAAAGTTGATCTCATAAAAGCAGAGGGTAGAACAGTGGTTCCTAGAGGCTGGGAAGTGTAGAGCAGATTGGGGATAGGAAGAGACAGGTTAACAGGTACAAAACTGGAACTACATGTGAGAAATAGTTTCTCATGTTCAATAGTTAACAACACTATAGTGACTACAGTTAACAATTTTTTGTATATTTTCAAATAGCTAGAAGATAGAATTTTGAATATTCCCAACACGAAGAAATGATAAATGTTTGAGGTGATGAATATACTAATTAACCTGATTTGATTATTACGCATGGTATCCTTGCATTAAAATATCATACAGTACTCCATAAATAAGTACAATTATTATGTGTCCCATAAAAATAAGAATAAATTTTAATAAAAGAAATCATTCCTACCACATTGTATTGGGGTATGGATCAAACGAAATAATTCCCCAAAGCACTCTGTTCAACCCTGGTACTGAAAAGGATTTTAATGAATGGCAGCAGTTATCACATAGGGTTATTAGAGAGACAAATAAGGTGGCATACATAAACAATGAATGGAGTTTGGTACTTGGTGCACTCAATGCCCTCAATAATATTACTTTTTCCAGCCAGGTGCGGTGGTTCATGCCTGTAATCCCAGCACTTTGGGAGGCTGAGGTGAGTGGATCACCTGAGGTCAGGAGTTCGAGACCAGCCTGGCCAACATGGTGAAACCTCATCTCTATTAAAAAGACAAAAATCAGCTGGGCATGGGGGCAGGCACCTGTAATCCCAGCTACTTGGGAGGTTGAGGCAGGAGAATAGCTTGAACTCAGGAAACAGAGGTTGCAGTGAGCCGAGATGGCGCCACTGTACTCTATCTAGCCTGGGTGACAGAGCGAGACTCCGCCTCAAACATAATAATAATAATAATAATAATAATAATAAAATAAAATATTACTTATTCCCTGAAACAGTCTCTTTAAATTACCAATTTATGCTTCGAACATACACAACTCCTACCTAGGATTGTAGACGACGAGTCATAGTGCACACGGTTCTATCACATGAAGAGGTTATGGCAGAGTGGCTGATCCAGTTACATATATCTCACAAGCACAGTTAAGCCTCTGATTCCCTATATACTGGCAATCACATACTTCAAAAACAATTACTTCCACCAGATATACCTAGCATCAACCATACAGTTACCAATCCACTAGGCCAATTATATTATTAGAAACTTGCTTTTCCATTTTTACATCTAACTCTTCTCTCTTAAAAGAATACTTTTAGAAATACCTTAAATGGTTTATTGTTATACTTTTGTGATCAGAACAATTTTAGATTATTATTTTAGCTTAACTATAAATGCAGATAACTATAAAGATGATAATATAAGCACAACACCTATAAAACAGAGACAGTTTTAAACTAGATGGCCATCGTCCTTTTAAACATTTCATTGTACTTGCATATGCACATACACACACACACACACACCAATTCATAAAATGTAAGTGTATGAAATACATGTGTTTAGTATATGTATCTTAATGGGTACAGTGTTCATATTCTATAATTTACTTAAATATGTTTTGCAATGAACATGCAAGTTTTCTACCTCCACTATTATTAGCAGTGCATCAGTGCACTTCTTTGGGTATAAATATCTTTGCACACATATTTATTGCTGTTATTTTAATGAATTATTTTAATGGAATTGTTGGGTAAAGGATACACACATTCACATTTTTGATACATACTGGCTTTCACAAATCAATTACCAACTTTTATTCTCACTGACATGCAGTTTCTTAAAGTTTGCATGAATTTCATTCTCTATTTACATTGTTTTCTCCTCTGGGCTTCTGCCCATGAGATGTTGCCTGAGATCCATTCCTCTCCCGTGATGTCATGACCAGGCCTTCTTGACTGTGCTTTTTCAATGACTCTTTTAGCTTGGCCCTTTCTTCAAACTTGAGGACTTCCTTGCTAATCTTCTTGTCACCTAAAGCCAAACTCATCTCATGCCATATTTTCAACAACTACTTGTTAAAAGATATAAGACAAAATAATAAATACTAATGTTAATGAATGTGACTTAAACTTTCTTGGAAAATATTAATACTCACTTTTATTTTCCAGACACTAGACAAAGTATATGTATGCATTATATGAAAATTGAATGTTATTATTATTAATTTCCTCTGCAATAAAAATCTGAAGCTCAGAAAAATCTTAGGTATTTTCCAAGGACAAATATAAATAGCACATTTGGGCTTATATCCTTGGTTGTATTAGTGCAATTCTGTTCTTAACCACCATGATGTACTGTCTGCATTTGGAAATTCAGGAACAAATTTAGAGCTTTGCCAACGTTTCAAAGGCACGATTTTGTAAATTAATTTTATTGATAAATTACTATGTGATAAAAAATATAAATTTACTTTGGGGTAAGTCAGGCTGATCTCATATTATTTCAGAAAATATGTGTTATTTTAGTCCATAATAAAAAGTTACTGACCCTATTTGTTTTTTGTTAATAATGATTGCAAACAACTTCTAAGAGATGCCTAGTTGAAAATATGTCCACGTAACTCTAATGGAGTAGCAATTTGGGCAAGCTTGTAGGTAACCGATTTCTGTGCTTATTTCAAAAATGATTCTATTCAGCGTATATTGAAGAGCTACTATGGAATAACAAACTACAGGAAATTTGGTGATCTTAAAGAAACCGTCAGCTTGGTCCACTGCAGTTATCTGATGTGAGCTCACTCTAGTTTCTACAGGTTGACTGGGAACACTTACTTAGTCTGGGCTTGGCTGGGGCAACTTAGCAAGGGCTTCTCCATTCCACGTATTTTTCATCATTCTCCTGAAACCAGTGGGTTAGCCCAGGTATGTACATTTTATGGTGATGGCAAAAGGACAGGAGAGCAAATGGAAACATACAACATATCTTGAGGCCTCAGCTTTTGGAACTGGCGTATTGTCACTTTTACATCATTCTATTTGTAAAAGCACGTCTCATGATGAAACTCATAGCCAAAGAGTGGGGAAATAAGTTATTCCCCTTTGAGGGAAGAATGGCAAACTCATGTGGCAAAAAGCACAGAGGGAAGACAGGAAGGAGAAGTGGTGCCAGTAATGCAACCTAGCACCAAAGCAACTGAGTTTTTACTTGAAAAGATATTCTGGTTCTAAACTTAAAAACTAACTTATATTTTTAATTGTTTAGTCATGGAACACTATGAAGTTTTTTTGTTTCCTGAGAGAGAGGGTATGCTGCAGATGTTTTAATTTCTGGTCAGGTGATTTCTACCTATGAAATGATTTTGCCTATGTCCTTTAAGAACCACTTGTGTGTTTCTCTGAATGCAGTTTTCAGCACTAAAACTCTCAATGAGTGACTCATTAAACTAGTCACCATTGTATCCACCCACTCAACCTCTTGCCACAGCCTCCGAATCTGTGGCTGCTGTGTCACATAAGCATGAAAACTGTAGAATCCGGAATTCCTATTCAACTTGTGCCAAAACACTAAGCCTTTAAGTTTAAGAGCATTTGAGAATAATTGTAAGAAAAATAGCTTGGTTGTTCTGTAACCAGATGCTAAGTTGACTATTACTCACTCACTGTGAGTTAACCGGAACTTAAAAGAGGGAGTCTCAGCCCCGGAGTGTGAAAGAAGATAGCCGGAAATGTCCAAAGCAGTTAAGAGGGTGAACAGATTTTGTCTAAAAAGATAAGGCAGCTAAACAGAGGGTGAGAAGACATGAGCCAAATTTACACACACAAATAGTGGCAATAATCTCTGAGAATCCAATTTGGGAAGAAGTGAGGGAGATAATAGTGCTCTGAGTGCCTAGTGATGAGAGAACAAAGAGGGTAACGATGCCTGAGAGACGGGATCAGTAATGTTTCCAAGGTGTCATGGAAGAGTCTGCTGGCAGTAGGACAGAAGTGTACTTTTTTGATTTTTAAACCAGTTTACTAAGAAGGTTCAAGTTTGCGTCAAAGTTTAAACTTTATAAATTATTTGTTTGCTTTACTTTTCAGAATATTTAAGAAAACAATCCATGGGACAGTCTAACATAACAAAGGGAATTATTCATCAAGAAGAGGCCCTTTAGCAGGTAAGTGTGAGGACACCCTTCATCTTTAAAAGGCACATGACTCTTTGCTTGGTGTCTGACTTTCTGTGGAACCGAAAAAGTTTCAAGGAGATTAATATCTTTATATTCTTAAAGCCAACATCTTCAAAATAATAACCTCAATGCAAAGTGAAAAATCTAATCAAGTGTTTACTGATTTTTTCAAATTCAAATATACATATAATATTGTTTCTCAACTTTTATGAGATATAGAGCTTGTCTTGATAGAAGTAATGAGATGTCCATAATTATATTCCATGATTTAATATTTTATTTTCTTATATCTTAATTATGAGTTGATGCTATAGTCTGAACAATTAAGACCTAAATGCTCTTCCAAATTTACAACAACTCAAAATTTTGTGTTAGAAAATTACTTTTAAAAAACTCAAGTATTCTGCATCTGGGTAGAAACTAAAGATAATTGCTGATTCTAGATGTTATGATTACTGTTCCCATTTTATTGTTTTGAATGCCTCAACTGTCTACTTCCCCCATACTATGTGGCAGAGATTAAAGTCTCTGAGCCATGTTATATGTTGCTCACTAGTAAACATCAACATGCTGGTACAGAAATGCATATCTGATTCTGTGTCAAGTTTCTGAAGGAACAAGTAAAAAAAGAAACAAAGTAAACCACAATTACTTTGCACCAACCTAATCTTACTGGAAGGAGTTTCTGTCAGTAACTACTGATGCGACCCAGTGCTTCTAACCTATATGTATGTACATCTGTGTATATATGTTAGATAGGGTAGATATACATATTATCTATCTATATATCGACCTATCTCCCTCCTTCCTCTCCCTCCTTCTATCATCTATTCTCATGTTCTATATGGTTATATGTTCTATATTTATCTTTTGCTAGATACTAGATGCTCGACTAATCTATTTCAAATAAATGAATTAGTAGTTTCATCCATAGCTGTTGCTAGCATGGAAAAACTTGGGGGAACTGAGAATCTTTTCTTCTGCCCTAGAACATGCTATATTAACTTGCAGTTTATATAATTACCATTGTATGTCTCCTTATTTTTGTCCCTAAAGAAACTTTATATCTTACAACTTCATCCCTATGAATTTATTTCCTTCCCTATAAATGAGAATAAAAATATAAATTACAAAGGTATATTTAATGTCTAAACAAAATATTATCTATTAAATGTAATTCCTTGAAAAGGTAAATAATTATAAATTGGCATGGCTTTGAGACAATAAGAAAAACTAGAACCGGCACATGGTAAAAGTGGGAATTCAACAGAGCAATCAAGATGTTTCTGACTTTTTATTTTTAATTGCATTTGAGGCCTATCAAATCTTTTACACAAAATTATAAATTGTTCGTGATTTCCATAGATATTTTATATTTTATCTTAAGAGGTGTCTGCTAAACTATATAAATCTGGAAGGAAACTTATGCTAAAATATAAGGTACTGGCCTATGTGTAGACACATTGCTCATTCTCTAATGAGGCTCTGGAGCTATGAAACATGCATGGTGCAGTGTGGAAACAAAGTTTATGGATTGTGACTCACATATATTATCACACTAAATCCCTATAAATTCTTAAACACAACTTCTTTTATCAGTTTATGCATATACTCAAAACCAGCAGTTGCTTCCTTTGCCTGCAGAATAAGTTCCTAGTTCCTAAGATTGCTATTCCAAGTTCTCAAGAATCTGGTCCCATTCTGCCTCTTTAAGGTTTTTTTCTACTTATGCCCATTAAAATTTTGTGTTTCGATTAGACTAACCTATTCATTCAATCTACAATTTCAAAAGAAGTCTACATCCTTAACTTTGTTTTTGCAGCTTCCTTTCCTATTTGGTATGACTTTCCATCTTGACAAAAGCTTATACGTCCTTTAAATACCTAGCTGTACCTCTGGATCATCTTAGTTGATAATTATCTCACCATTATCTGAAAATAATTAGTTATATTTATATTACTAATTTTCATTCATAGAAAATATTAATTTGCTAATTGCTAATAAAATTTGATGTTATTTTTTATTACTGAGGATATAATTAATTGACTAAAAATAATGAGTGTTACAAGAGTCATTAAGTTAGTAAACTGCAGATTGCTATAAAGTATTATGAGTTACCTTATAGTGTGATTCTTTATCCAGAATATATATATTTATATCTCCAACTTATGATAATAAAAACAATGTAAAAACTAGTAAAGAACTATATTATTACTTGAGAGAAGGAGATATTATAATTTCATGTAACCACAGGTGCCACATTATATATACTCTCTAAATAGTAGGAACCCAAGAAAAAGCTTTTTGCTTTTGAAATACTAACAGTTGTTGCATGTAACTGTATAGATTTTCTACACAAATCTAAAGTACCATTTTTCAGTATTTCTGCTTCTCAGTCTTCTGCCAAGCAATCATAATCTCTTATCTGGAATTGACTATCTACTTTCACCTTTACCTCTACATTTCCATCTTCTTACAGCAGCCAGAATGATCATTTTAAAATGTCAATAAGATAATTCTCTTCTCCAGACATTTCAATGGCACCCTTTCACAGTTTAAGATAAAATCCAAACTCCTTCCTGTAATCTCAATGTTTCCATCTAGATTACTACTAAGTACCTCCCATGGTTCACTTCACCTGAAAAACACCCACCTCCTTGCTGCTCCTTGAACATGACAAGGACTGTTTGGAGATTTCAGCTTTGCTCATGCTTCACCTCTCAGCACAGATCACTACATTTTTTCCCTAAGCAGCCTTCCCTGACCATCCTAAAATAAATAGATCCTCCCATTCAATATCCACTCACTCTGCTTTATTTGTCATCATGATGCTTATTACTACTTAACATTATATGTTCTACTTATTTGGTTATTTGTTTAATATCTGTTGCCTCTTTTTAAAATGGCATATCTGTGAGTCTTTGTTTCGTTCACCATTTTATCCACAGTACCTAGATTATCACCTGAAATATATTAGATGTTCAACTAATCCATCTTGAATAAATAAATGAACATTTACAAATAACTAGATTAGGAATATGTTGTCTTTTCTAGTCTGCAGAATTTGGGTGTTGAATATATTTCTTGAAAGGACTGTTCAATATAAACATCTGAAGACTAGATTCTTCTTTTGTACCAAGTCTGTCATTTCATGGCAACTCTCACAAACAATCTACATTTCAGTTTCTATTTATGAAATAGTGATAAATATTATCACCTTTGTTCTTGTCGCTTGAAGTTACAAAACTGATGGAAAAAAAGTATGTTGAATTCCAATCACTTGAAACAGCACATTATTAACTTTGGAATGACTAAAAATGATTCTTCTGCTTGGTTCCAAAGAAAGATAATAATGCACATTTGGTGTATTAGGGATAAGTCCACACAGAACACAGGATATTAAAATACATATTTTTAAGAAAGCTTCCAGACATCCCAAATTCGCAAAATGTCTGGCTCTAAGTTGGTTTGAAGTTTTGCCTGGACTTCAAATATAGGTTTGTGTGTTTTATCTGTCCATCTCTATGTTTTTGATTTCCATTGTGATTCAGTTTTGACCACATGAATTTATTGTTTCCAGTGAAAACATCAATATACTAATTCCCATTGAGATGAATTAACATTGTACTCTAGTGATACCTGCAATTTCAGGGCTGGATATATATCTGATGGAAAATCTGTACTGAAGATTCATGATTGATATAAAATCCAGTAACTTGTGTATATACAAATGTACACAAGTTATATATAACTTTGTCTTACTTTTGTTATTATATAGCCTATATATGTGTTTGCGCATATATATTTATGCTAGATATATACAGTGAATATGTAAGTCTATATATTGGATATGTGTGTGTATATGTATCTGTATACATACACACTTGCTATATAATAACCAAGGTGAGATAAATTGTATATATTACTTATATACAATTAACATGCATTTTATATGTTAATTATAATAATTGTTAGAAACTGCTGGTCATTTAGGTAAGATGCTTATTTTTGTTCATCTTTTGCTTTAAATTTATCTTACTTTGGTCATTATATGGCCTGTATGTTTATATGTATATACTACATTTATACTGTATAAATACATTATACAGTACATTAAAACAATAACATAAAACTATAAAGCCAAACCAAAATTCTGACCTACTGATGTAATTTTTAAGTTATGCATAAAACAACTACCTTGCTTTTAAAATGATCTTTATCCTTGTAATCCTCATTACAAAGATAAATAACATGATTTTAATTACAACTCATCTGAAGATGACAATGATTTATATCCATAAGTGATTGTGACATGCGAGTCACTTTCTATTGGATTGCATACAAAATAAAGGATTAAATTTCATTAAAAAATACTGTGTTCTTTTCAGAATCTCACTGTTTTGTTAAGCAGGATTTACTAACATTATGGTGAATGAATCTGCAGACTATTTTTAAAGTTGTAAAGGAAAATATAATTTTTTTTTTTTTTTTTTTTTGTGAGACGGAGTCTCACTCTGTCACCCAGGCTGGAGTGTAGTGGCTCGGTCTTGGCTCACTGCACTCTCTGCCTTCTGGGTTTACACCATTCTCCTGCCTCAGCCTCCCGAGTAGCTGGGACTACAGGTGCCCGCCCCCAGGCCCGGCTAGTCTTGTATTTTTTAGTAGAGATGGGGTTTCACCGTGTTAGTCAGGATGGTCTTGATCTCCTGACCTCATGATCCGCCCGCCTTGGCCTCCCAAAGTGCTGGGATTACAGGTGTGAGCCACCGTACCCAACTAGGAAAATATAATTTTTGAAGCTTATAACCTATTTTTAGAAATACCATGGGTTATTATCTATAAGTAGGCTTAAATATTTTATGTTATAAATTTAATTTATATAGCACATATAACGTTACATTGTGCTCACTTATGTACTCAAATGGCAACATCCTTGAAAGCATTACTTCTACTTTTGTGATGTTTCCATTTTTAGTAATTAGCATAGA